CCACAGAGATGGGGACAAGGCCAACAACAGTGGTAGGAACTTGGGAATGCCAAGAAGCTAGCGCAGGAGACTTGCAGCAGAGGCCCTTAAAAGTCTGAGTGAGCTCTTGCCGGGATAAAAGAGGCTCTTTGCTATCCCACCAGACAAAGGTGTTCAAAAATTGATCCCGCAGTCAACGAGCCAATGGACTTCCCTTGACCGATGAAACGCGCTGCGCATTTGCAGTCATTTGACCATGGACCCTCGGTGGGTTCAGTCGGGGTTTGGACGTGAATCCGGTGGGTCTGGGGCTTCTTACACACTTCGTAGAGGTTTGTGGAGGTCTTGGGTGTTGCACCAGAAACCACGGCACTCTCACAAATTCCCAGAAGCAGAGGCTAAGGACCTTGTGCCCTCCAAGGCAGGGCCCGGACCTTCTCCTTCTGGGCGGAAATCCGGAACTTCCCACCCAAAGCGCGTCGTCCGCCTCCAGTTCGACCCAGCCGACCGCCAGGTGCATTCCATGCGCACTGATGGACGGAGCCAGGTGCCCATCCTTCACGAAGCGGTGAAGGCGGCTGGGTCGCGTGCCAAAAAAGTCGCGGGGGATGAAAACACCTTTTTTGGTTTCCAAGCACCCTGAATGAGGTTTTACCGAAGCGCCAGCTGTTTTGCCAAGGATTTTACACTTCAAAAATTCCCGTCAACCTTTCTTTTGATGGTCTTGGAAGGCTAGAGCTGGGATTGTATGGGCCCATATTGAAGCCTAGGGCGGCTCTGTGCGGCGGGTGGTTCTTTTGGTGGGGGCGGACGCGTTTTTCCTGTCTTTGGCGGCCGAACTTGTGGTGGCTGCAGCGGGCCAAACCGTTTGCATGTCACGGTAGGTGCACCCTGAAACATGGTTTCAACCCCCTAGGAGTTCAAGACTATGTTTAAACATGGTGGACCCGGTTTTGTAGTGTCAACTCCTGAGTAGGACACAATGGTGCTTCGGGATGACCCGTTTTTTTTAATGAATGGTGGGTCGAATCTGGGCGAAACAGGGAAACGGCTTCTCCCCTAAGACCTCGAAGTCTGTTCAGTGAATATGTCACAGCTGCACGCAAATAGGACGGACTTCGTCAGCCGAGAACCGACGTTGAATCGGCTTTGGTGATCCTTGGAAAGACATTCCTCTTGATCTGGAATTGGGAACGTGAGCCCGTGTGTGTGTGTAACCCTTGGAGTTGCAGGGGTTCAGTCGAATTGTAACAGTAACAACATGGAGCACGGAGACTGACTTCCTATCCGCGCCAACGAAGCTACGAAAATCAATTGGAAGAGAGTTGGGACGCCAACTCTTGTACCTGCACTTCAGTTTGGTTGTGCTGTTGGTAATCACCTTCTCCTCTACCTGGACAGGCTGTTTAGGTGATTCTGAGGTCTGCAGACTTGCAGGGGACGTCGTCAACCTGTCGTCGATCTTGTGATCGTTGGAGCTTTGGAGGGTTTGCGTACCTCTTTGCCCTGATAACTTTCACGCCTTTTTTTAGGCTCTGGTTTGTCAGCTGTGTTCACTGTTGTTTTTTTCAACTCTCACGTTGAGTTCTTTGATGATCTTTGCCTTTCACGGTCTTTGCTTCTAGTCTATGTTTCTCTGCGCAGTAAGGGAGAGGAAAGGAAAACAGAAGCCGACAAAGAAAGCAAAGCTCATATCTAAAAAGAAAAAAAGAGGGTTTTGCTCATTCTTGCGTTTCTTTCAAGCGCTATAGGCGTTCACACCTAGGTGGGCTTGTGGCATGTGGCATTCAGATCAGTACGCATGTCAATAAGTGTGTGGCATATTCCAAGAACCTCTGTTCGGGGTGTCTATGAAAGTCGCCCATCACCACCCTTTCACTCCGTGCCTTCCACTTCCACTTCCGACTCGACGCGAGACTTGATGCGAGACTCCAGCACGCGTCCACCCGCCAGGAGGGTCAGATCGCGGCCGTCCGAACGCTCTTGGAGCATGGCGCCTGGGTGGATGCTGCCCGGCGGAAAAGTGGTCGACGCGCGGTTGACCGCGGTCAGAGCAGCTGTGGGTGAGATGGAAAAGAACCCAGATGCGACACGAAGCCCTCGTACCCTGGAGGTTATGGATGACAAGGCAGACATTTTGCACAATTGGAAGATCCAGGTATGGAGGGATCGGATATGGAAGGGTCTGGGGTTTGAAATCCCGAGGTATTGAGTTTTGAGGGACCGGTGGGCCTGTGAACGGAGCGTTTGGGTGGGTCACACTAGACTGGACTACGAGACATTGTCAACGTGGCAGGGTTTGGGGCCAGTTTTGACTCACAACCAGGCGTATGGGGTGTGTCTCCATCTGGAGACTGGCGAGACCTCTCAAGTTTGAGTCGACGTTCACTCCCTCTTGGCGACTCGCTCGTGTTCGTTCCACCGATGTTTTTGGGATGTGAAGTCTAGTCTAGTTGTTTCCCCTTTTCTAGTATAGCCACTAGTGGGGTACACACCCAGATGCTCCGTTCACAGCCCTCCCTTGGCCACACCCCTCAACGCTGCCCAAGAAGGGGTCCGAGGGTCTAGGTGATGGGTTGAAACCAAAACCATCAAAAACCCGTTGCCGAGGACGAGAACCGGCCGTTTCGGAAAGACACTCAGAGGGTCATTGAGTCATTTCCTAGAAAAAGATCGGCCTGGGCATGCCCGAGGCCGGGGCGCTCACTCAACTCTGAGGCGTTTTCGCACCAGGAATTCTTCAACGAGCGTGGCTTCAACCGTCACACCGTGCTTCGGCTGGGCTTGGCACGGCGCAGTCTGGCGCACCGTCTGGCGCGGGATGAGACCTCGCGCGCGGGAGCCTCCGAGGCTCAGACCGACCTCCCGGGCCTGATGGTCAGGGTGCTTTGACCCCTCCCGGTCCACCTCGGTCGGTAGGTTTCATCGGACCCGAAGTGGGTGGTCTGCATGCGAAATGTCAGAGATCCAGGTGGGACAAACCGGATCTACGACTGTCAGCCCGAACTGCGGGGGTGGGGTGAAGCCCTCCTCGCGAGTTGCTGCGTCGTTTTCAGGGGCCCTGTCCTGAGAACGGGGCGAGGTGCCGCGGTCCGAATGGTTCGGTCCTGGTCTGAGGAGGAGACGGCGCTGCATTTGGCCTGTGATGCCGGTGATCTGCCCATGTGCGCGTTGCTCTTATCTAAAGGAGCTCAGGTGCCTTGGAAACGGGATGTATTTGGGGTGTCAGGTAGGGTAGAGACAGCAGGATTTTCAATGGATGGATGATTGATGGCGGTTCTTTATGAGGCATTTGTTATGATATGTTTCTTTTATTTTGATATCTACCAGCAGTTCCTTGTCGGGGTGCTATCCATGGAGGAAATCGGGGTGCCCCTGTCACATCCACTCACTTGCGGATTCATACCTAAAAACCAACTCGTGTGGAACTCCTGGAATGTAGGTCTACCGTCTATGCATGGCTTTCCAATCCTCAGGCTTTGGGCACTTATGATCGTTCCTTTTCGCTGTGAAAGGTTGCTTTCAGGAATAGATTCGGTGAAGCACCTCTTGTGAATTGGTGGAGTCACCAAAAGAACAGATCGCAGATTGGCATGTCTCATGTCCACATTCTTGTTCCAAACAGATCGCTCTCTGTACTGAACAGCTCCACATTCCGAACATCTCCATATTTTTCAAAGCCTTCCTGCTACAAGAACGATCTCCACAGTTAATGCTCAACAGTGGTCCTTTTCTTTTTGAGTTAATTGCTCACTGCATGCCTTCGGATATAACAACATGGCCAGTGCTTCCTCGCACCCACCGCACCTCCTTGCAGCTCATCCTCACCTCACATCTCTCCAGTCCAGGTGAACACTTGGAGGAAGCGCACAGAGCACGTGCCCTCCTTGACGCCCTCGCCCACGGACGACCCGCGCGATGCGCGCTTCGTCTCCAGCGTGCTCTGTGTGCCCATCGAGGAGACGGCGCTGCACATCGCCCCTTCACAGCCGATGGAGACGGAGGGGTGGGGTGATGGAGACTGGTCAAACCCTAGGAGGGAGTCACATGGAGTGACAGGGTGGTGTGCCTTGGTGTGCCCCATCCAATGGCCGATGTGGATGTGGGGCACCCCCACTCCTTCCTCCAAGTTCGGCACGCGCGAGCACGGTGACTGCTGGTCTGGAAGTCCAGTGATGTGCGATCATTTTAAGAAGAGGAGAAGTCGACTGGACTCCGAAAGATTCGGATGTGGCCGCCAGAGTGTTTGATTGGGAAACTCATCACTGGTGGACGGGGTCTGTTGCGAGCTGACCGCTTCAGGATTGTGTGACAATCCAACACTTTTTTGTGATGCACCCAGACACTCTGCATGTATGGCATATTTACCCACAGTGACCCCGTTTCAACCACCCCAATACAGCTAGATAAATATGCCAATAGATGGAGTGTCGGGGATTTTGATGGCACTTGGGTCTAAAGATGAACGCCAACCTATACCAGCCTGTCGAAGCGGTCGAACCATTGGTGACCTGTAGAGTTGGGCTGTATAATATGAATATATCTTTGCCCGAAGAGGAATCCATGACATCCACCCCGTGCTGTGGAATCCCACCCAGACGCTCAAACCCCTCAAACCCTCAGAGTGGAGGGATCGGACCCGAACCGGCTTGAGGGGTCCGGGGCTTTTAGATCCGTACCCGTTGGCCATCCGGGAATGACCGTGAAAAACATGGGAACGACCTGGTGGTTCTGTAGTGCAAAATTAATTTTAACAGTAACACAATGGTTCTTCAGGCAGACCATTAAATCAATGGTTGGAAGCCTAGGGCCCAGGTTTTGAAGTCCTCTTCGGGCAAAAACACGGTCCTGATCCAGTCGGCATCGCTCATCCTGTACCACTTTACAGTCCGGAAAAGCACCTCTTCCGGACTGTTCTGGCACATTTTTGGGGCGCATCCAGGCTGAGCCTAAGCCCGAAACCTGCCTTTGACACCGAGGCTCTCCAGCAGAAAAACCCCGAGCTCGCCACGCTCTTGGCCGCTTGGTGTCTGAGGTTAGGGGGTGTTTGGTTCAACCCAGGTGCCCAGGTCATGTGGAGCTGATGCGATCTGCCCGTCTTGCGTGAGTTTCGGATCAGCAAAGGCGGGCTCCTGCTGCCAAGGCAGGTTTCGTGCCGACGAATTTGCAGGACTTGAGAAAATATGGATGCATGTCCATCTAGCTTGGCGGCGATCAAAGCTCAGATCCAATGGATTTTTGGCAGCCAGACGAAGTAGGCGGCTTTGAAGATGGGTCGTTGAACGAGCGGGGAACGAGTGCCAGCCCGTTGTCCCTACGTCCTCTCCCTGGGAAGCCAAAAACGTCGTGGGACTGTGGAGTGCCTTGCATGGCATCGTGGACCGGATTAGCTTCTCTCCTCTTGTCTGCAACCAAGTGAATGACTGAGCGGAAGAGCAGTATACCGAGTCGAAGACACATGATTGAAGCGGTAGCCAGCTGACTATGCTGACTGTCTATGTGCGTCGATCAAGAGGCCGGAATGTGTCGGTACCAATCAGTGAATAGACCATGCATATCATCCATTTCAGAGATGTTGTCAGATCACATGCTGAAGAGCCTGGAGGAAGGCAGTAACAAGGGGGGCCTGGCTGTGCAGCAGGGCTACGGGAATCCGCCCAAACGGCCAATGTCAGTTTCGAGACCGGGAAAGAGAGAGAAGAGCCGGGCAGGAGGCTAGCAGCTATCACTTCCACAAGCAACCCAGCCCAACCCATATATGTACAGGACACTAGAGAGAGGAGTCCTGGCTGTCCCCTCCGCCCTTCGGCTATCTCGCCACGGCTTTCCTGCTCTCAAACTTCTCCCGCGACGACTGAAGCAGCCGGACGAAGACGTCAATCCCGCATCGATCGAGACGTGCATCGCCCCCCCTCCGTGCGGTTCCCGACATCTGCCGAAACGACGTCAATGAGGGTTGATCGTTCACCCCCCCCGACGCGGAAGTCTGCACTCTTCGTTCAGTAGGGGCCGAACCAGCACTTCTGGGAAGGCTTTGGGGTCTGAAATCCCGGGTTTTGTGGGGCCAGGCGGCCTGTGAACGGAGCGGACCCAGGATTCCTGGCCCGCCATTGATTTATTTAGTCTGAATCCAGAACCACCATTGTTTTCCTAAGCTATTTACACTACCAAACCAGCTCAACCATGGTAAAATGCATCTTGGAAGGCTAGCGGCTAGGGGTCATCGTATCCCTACGAGACACCAGCTGTTTGAACATTCCCTAGAAGTCCAAGGGCCAAATTAAACCTGGTGCTTGACCTCCTTGAGTACTGGTTTTGCGTGACCGGATCCAGTCAAATGAGGTCCTTAAGACCGGGATTGGTCTGACTCGGATCTCACCCGAGTTTCTCGGAACTTTCCCCCACTCATCGGTTTCATGTTTCGTGGGTATGATCAACTCCAGTATATGTCATATGAGGTCGGTTCCTGTAGGCTAGTAGGCTAGTAGGGGTCATTCTGGGCCCCCCCCCCCCGCCCTGTGTGTCTTTCGCATGGCCATCTACAAAACCCCAAACGGTCCCCACAGCCGGACCAGTCGGACGATCGGTTCGGGTCCCGACCTCCCAGGAACCACCGAATGCCCTCGGTGTCCGGGCCCGGGACACTTCGGAGGGTCCCAGACTTCCAAGGTCCAAGACCATTACTGTAAAACACATGGTTGACCTGGAATTCTAGTGCAATAAGAATCTCCTGATAGCAAAAAAATAGGACCAATATCAATTGAATGGTGGTTGGTACCCAAACGGGGATTCCCCTCAATCTTCGCTTCCTCCCCACGATCTGATCGCAGGTCTGCTCTGGTGCTGACCTGACGCTCCCACGCCGGCGTGATGGCAAGGCGAGTAGCTGCCAAGAGCCTCTCGAACGGCACCAGGACGGCCTCAAGGACGGGCCGAGGAGGCTTTTTCGTTTTGGTGTTCGTTTTGTGATGGGACAAAGGCCGTAGGGCGTGACGGGTTCATGTTTGGTGGTGCAAACACGGTTTTTGCCCCGTCATGACACCACCAAAGAGGGTCAAGGCAATTGAGTATTGCAGGGCTACCAGTAGCAAAACCATCCTTCTTCTCACATTTTGTTGCCGAAAAGCCGTAACAAAGGGATTATGGCGCTATCCCGGTCAAACAGTGAGTGGTGGTTCGGTGGTGACGTGTACGCTTCGCGCGTCACCGGGCGCGCGGTCGTCGGGTCGTCGAGCCGAACGTGGAGCCGAGCCCGAGCGGCCGAGCCGAGCCTGAGGCTTTGCGAAGGTGAGGAGAGATTGGCTGAGGCCCTCAAGGCCAGGGCAACGCGGGATACGCGGGATACGCGGGATACGCGTGACGTGGGTCGTTGGTAGGGGCCTTGGAAGCCTACGACCGTGTTCCACCGTCTGCCTTCACTTTTTTGGGTTGAGTCTACCGCTTCTTAGGTACGTTTCAATGCTAAAGCAGCATGCCAGACGAATCCGGGGCCGGATTCCGGCCGTTTTTTCTTCTTCGCGTTCTGATCTAGATCTGATTGCCTGAATCCCGAACGAACATGGTTTTACTATGACTGCTTTACGAAGGAATTTGGACCGCAGGAAGATTAACATGGAACCTGATGGCGTGGATGGAAGACTATAGCTTCAGTCCAGCCATTTTTTCAAAAAACGCTGTCCCCGACTGGGTCTCCGACTGCCAAGTGTTTGAAGTGGAATTTGCATTGAGGGAGTGAACAGAACAGTTTGCTCGCGGTGGCTTTTGGGGGGTTAAGAGGTTGGTTGGGACGAAGCACAGGACGACTGGAGGATCATTTGGGTTTTGTTGGGTCTCTGACTTGTTGGCTTCTCCCTTTGGCCAGATACAGATTGCACCACCACCTCAGTACCACTCCAGAGGTGGTACCCTAGGCGCTCTAGCCATTGTTTTCCGATTTAATGCACTACAACACTGGGTCGTTCCCCATGAATCTTTCAATAGTGGAAGGCTATGAATCTTTCAATAGTGGAAGGCTATTGGGTATCATATCGTGCACCACGTTCCAACGGTCCGACCCGTGAACCTCCGGAACCTCCGCACCCGTCGCCTTCCGCGAGGCCACGTGGAGCCCCGAGACGCATCACCTCTTTCCGAGCAAGGCAGGAGAGCCACGACGTCCCGGGACGAAGGACGCGACCCGCACCGGAGGAGGCCGAAGCTACGGACGGTGGAGGCCACTAGTAGCCAGTACGGACTGGGAGTCAGTGGTTTTGACCGGGTGACGGTGAACCCAAGCCTTTCTAAGTGACCGAATTCTTGGTTCACCAAAACCCCCTGCTCTTGGCCTGGCGGTGTCCCAAGAGCAGGAAAGAAGGATCACCTCGTCCAGCCAGGACCCTCTGTTCGCTTCGTGTCTATAAACATTATAAACCCTAATTAGGCTTCCAAGACCATGAAACATGGTTGATCTGGTCGTGTAGTGTAAAATCCTTATTAAAACAATGGTGGTTCGGGATTCAGGCTGTACTCAGGATTATATGAGGCACAGTTGCAAGGCGATTGCTCAGGGTGATTGCAATGATTCTCACACTCTTTCTGTAGAGCAACTGGCATCCCCACCCCATGTAGCAAAACATCAACCCCCCGAACCGCCCATCCCTTTTTTGAAGGATCACTGGTCCGAATCGCTTCCCATGGCGCCGCTTTCTCCGAGGTGCGCGAGAGCGTGAAAACGGCTCTGATGATTTCTCAAAGGCAGAAATGGCCAGTGCCAGACAGCGCGCCTTGGACGGAACCGCCCGACCCAACCCCCCTGCGGGCGAGGGTCGGGTCTGCAGAAAGGAAGACGGCACATTTGGATGACAAAGGGCCTGTCGGTGACATGATGGCACAGGATGGCATGCTTAATGCTTGGCATGACTTTTGGGTGCTCTGAGGTTCCCTCTATCATATGTGCACCTGAGTTGAACTGAATTCTGTACTTGGCCACCCTATCATACCACTTTCTGCTGGTCCTTTGGTAAAGAACACGTCCTTTCCGGGGGTGTTGACAATATGTGGTTCCCTCAAGAAAGGACACAGAACGCGAACTTGTGTCTTTGAAGTTTGTGTCAGATTTGAGAATTCACTCCAGGAATTCCATGTGGGACCGTTCATTTTTTTGAAGATCCTCCACCCATCCTTTGAGGGTATTCGGGGGGGCTGTGCTGCTCCCTGCCGCACGCACCCGCCCAGGTCCTCTTCAAGGTCTGCGCCATGTTCGCTGGCCCGG